TTTTTGATTTATTGTAGAGATGAGGTCTCACCAAGTTGCCCGGGCAGGTCTTGAGCCCGCGGGCTCAGGCAGTCCACTCAACTCAGCCTCCCAAGGTGGGGGATTACAGGCTGAGCCACCGAGCCCAGCTTGGTGGTTGTTTTTGAGTGGGGGAGTCTTACTCTGTTGCCCAGCCTGGAGTGCAGTGGCACGATCATGGCTCACCACAGCCGCTACCTCCTGGGCTCAGAAGATCCTCCTGCCTCAGCCTCCCAAGTAGCTGGAACTACAGGCATGGACTGTCCCCCCCACACACACACGGCTGATATTTTTTTTTTTGTAAAGATGAGGTCTTGCTATGTTGCTCAGGCTGTTCTAGAACTCCTGGGCTCAAGCAATCCTCCTGCCTTGGCCTCCCAAAGTGCTGAGATTATAGACATGAGTCACCACACCCAACATAGGTCTCCTATTAGACACTTTGCTTTAATGATTCCCTCTCCCCTCCCCTTCCTGCCCTCAATTTCCATGTACCCATGGCTAAATATGGTTACCACAAAGTAAATCTTTAAAATGAGGCTGTCATTGACCGGGCACAATGACTCACACCTGTCATCCCCGCACTTTGGGAGGTGGAAGTGAGAGGATTGCCTGAGCTCATCTCTACAATAAATAAAAGATTAACCAGGTGTGGTAGCGCATGCCTGTAGTTCTGGCTACTTGAAAGGCTGAGGTGAAGCGGGGCTCGGTGGCTCAGCCTATAATCCTGTGCCTTTGGGAGGCTGAAGTGAGTGAATTGCCTGCGGTTCGAGACCCGCCTGGGCAGCGAGACCTCATCTCTACAATAAATCAAAACATCAGCCGGGCATGGTAGCGCATGCCTATATTCTCGGCTACTTGAAAGGCTGAGGCAGAAGGATCGCCGGAGCCCAGCAGGTTGAGGCTGCGGTGGCCGGGAGCGGCCACTGCACTCCAGTCTGGGTGACAGAGTGAGACTCCAACTCAAAAAAAAAAAGGCTGAGGTGGAAGGATCGCTTGAGCCCAGCAGGTCAACATTGGGGTAACCGTGAGAGTGCCACTACACTGCAGCCTGGGTGACAGAGTGTGACTCCAACTCTAAAAAAATCATCCGGGTGTGGTACACACCTGTAGTTCCAGCTGAGGTGGAAGGATCCCTGAGCCCAGCAGGGCGAGGCTGCGGTGGCCCTGAGCGTGCCACTGCACTCCAGCCTGGGTGGCAGAGTAAGGCTCCGACTCAAAAAATAAAAACAATATAAATAAAAAATAACTGGTATCCCTGGGTCCACCAAATAGAAACTGCCAGAGGGGATTATGCAGCAGGCAGGTAGGTGTCAGGGCTGATTCACAGGCGTCTGCATGATTTCTACCTCTCACTCCATGTAGAACATGACCCTCGTCCCCGGCATCTCCCACTGCACTGCAGCTTTACACCATTACGCTGTCACCTGATGTTACCTTTTCCCTCGTCAAATCATTTCAGAACCCTATTTTGCAGCCTAGAATAATCAAGAAAGGTTCTGGGTATCCTTAATGGGTGAGACATTCAGGCCCTTGGGAATTTGAAAGGAATCTCCTTGAAGCAACAAGAACACTTTTCTTCACCCCATTATACCTCAGGCTGAAAATAGATAAATCAGATGCTGAGATCCAGAAGCTTCTGAAAGAGATCAAAGAAAGCAACCCTCAACTGACAATTGATGGGGACACTCGAGACCCCGGGGGCAAAAGGCCGTCTTCTCTGGACTTCGTCTTCTGAGCTCCCTGGGTTGATCCGTGCTCCAAGGACTTCGTGGACCTTCAGAGTGTTGGTGACTGTCCTGTGAGCCAGGAGATGTCTTCTTTGACCTCAGTTCTGCCTTTCACTTACCTAGACCATGCACAAGACACTTAACCTTGGTGTGTATGACATATTGGTAGCACGGGTGTATTGAGAGAAATAAAGGTGAGAGCATGCATAAATGACATCGTATTTATTAATGGGCTCTGATAAAACTTAGGAGATACCATATCTGGGGAGAATTTAGCCCAGGAAAGACAACGGTGACCATGTGGGACTTCTGTTGACCTTCCAGTCCAAGTTCAGCTCTGGCATCACTTTTTCTTTTTCTCAAGTCAGAGCCTCACTCGGCCACCACAACCTTAACCTCCTGGGCTCCGGTGATCCTTCCGCCTCAGTCTTCCAAGTATCTGGGATTACAGGTGCACGCTACCACACTTAGCTACTTTTTTTGACTTATTGTAGAGACAAGATCTCACCAACTTGCCCAGGCTGGTCTTAAACTCCTGGGTTCAGGCAATCCTCTCACCTCCACCTCCCAAAGCGCTGGGGTTACAGGCATGTGCCCATCTGAATAGCTTTTTTGGTTTTTGTTTTTTTGGAGTCGGAGTCTCATTCTGTCACCCAGACTGGAGTCCAGTGGCACGCTCAAGTCCACTGCATTCAAACTGCTGGGCTCAGGTGATTCTTCCACCTCTGCCTTCCAAGTAGCTGGAATCACAGGTGTGCGCCACCACGCCCAGCTAATTTTTTATTTATTGTAGAGAAAAGGTCTCACCATGTTCCCCAGGTTGGTCTCAAACCCGTGGGCTCAGGCATTCTTCTTGCCTCCACCTCCCAAAGTGCCAGGATTACAGACATGAGTCACTGCACCTGGCTGATGCTGTATTTATTTTGTTTGTTTTGTTTTGTTTTGTTGAGTTGGAGTCTCACTCTGTCGCCCAGACTGGAATGCAGTGGCACGCTCCCGGCCACCACAGCCTCGACCTGCTGGGCTCTGGCGATCCTTCCACCTCAGCCTTCTGAATAGCTGGAACTACAGGCGTGCACTACCATGCCTGGCTAATTTTTGGCTTATTGTAGAGATGAGGTCTCGCCAAGTTGCCCAGATGGGTCTCAGCCACCTCTCACTCCATGTAGAACATGACCCTCAGGCAATCCCCTCACCTCCGTCTCCCAAAGGTGCGGGGATTACAGGCTGAGCCACCGAGCCCGGCTTTGTTGCTGTATTTACTAACGGACTCTGACAAAACAGAGAGAAGATACCATTTCTGGGGAGAACTTAGCCCAGGAAAAACAAAGGTGACCATGCATGGCTGTGTTGACTTCTATTGACCTTCTAGTCTTTGCTTGGCTCTGGCATCTCTTGACCTCAGGGCAGCTGTCTGCTCAGTGTTCCTTGCCAGAGGGCTTCTCCTACCCACCCTGCAGTATTTGGACCCTGGGGTGTTTTGATGTTTCTCATCTATGTCCATGTCTTTGCTCTGAATAGCTTTTTAATTAAATTTTTTTTTTTTGAGTCAGAGTCTCACTGTCACCCAGCCTGGAGCGCAGGGGCACACTCACGGCCACCGCAGCCTCAACCTGCTGGGCTCAGACAATCCTTCAGCCTCAGTCTTCCAAGTAGCTGGAACTACAGACGCATTCTACCACTCTCGGCTAATATTTTTTTATTTATTGTAGAGACAAGGTCTTGCCAATTTGCCCAGGCTGGTCTCGAACCCACGGGCTCAGGCAATCCTTTTGCCTCTTCCTCCCAACGTGCTGGGATGATAGGCGTGAGCCACTGCACCAGCATGAACTCTTTTTCTAACATGGGGAGAAGCCATTGACATGCTGGTTATCGTTATTATTAGATAGTCATTGAAAGGACACAAGATGGAGTCAATAGAGCCAAGGGCAGCCATTGTAACATTGCTGAGATTTGTCATGTTTTTCCTTTTTTTTGAGTTGGAGTCTCTGTCTGTCGCCCAGACTGGAGGGCAGTGGCCGCTCCCGGCCACCGCAGCCTCGACCTGCTGGGCTCCGGCGATCCTTCCGCCTCCGCCTTCCAAGAGCCGGAATTACAGGCATGCGCTACCACGCCCGGCTAATTTTTGGATTTATTGTAGAGATGAGGTCTTGCCAAGTTGCCCAGGCGGATCTCAAACCCGCGGGCTCAGGCAATCCACTCACTTCGGCCTCCCAAAGCTCAGATTACAGGCTGAGCCATGGAGCCCGGTTGTCATGTTTTTCTAGCAGTGCACTTAACTTACCCTCTAATCACCAGCCAAGGACAGAACCGGTTTCTCAGAAGCAACTGTTTATCCTAGTCTTACAACCCCTCCCCAGCTTGTTTTGTACTAATTAGCTTTTCTATTTCAAGTATTTGCATAAGAAACAAGTTAACCTAATGACCTTCATGGCAGACCCTATCACCATAGCAAGTCCCATGACTAGCCCGCCAATCTGCCTGCTGTCCATCTTCTTGAGGTCAGTACATGCGCTTACCTGCCCCTTCATGAGGATGTGACATAGACCACCACTAGTCACCTTAATGACGTGCCCCCATCAAAGGGAAGGTTGAAAAGCATTAGACCTCAAGCAGCCATTTGCCATTGCCTTGCTAAGCTCTGGTTGGGCCCAGTGGCTCTTTGAGCTACGGCCACCATATTTCCCCAAGCTTTGGCCCCCTCCCCTGCTATGGGGAGGTCTTTTTTTTCTAAATACACCATGTTTTCCACCGGACACGGTGGCTCAAGCCTATAATCCCAGCACTTTGGGAGGCTGAGGTGAGAGGATTGCCTGAGCCCACGGGTCTGAGACCAGCCTAGGCAACTTGGCAAGGCCTCGTCTCTACAATACATCTAAAAATCAGCTGGGCGTGGAGGTGCGTGCCTGTAATTCCAGCTACTTGGAAGGCTGAGGCAGAAGGATGGCCTGAGCCCAGCAGGTCGAGGCTGCAGTGGCCGTGAGCATGCCGTTGCCCTCTAGCCTGGATGACAAAGTGTGCCCCCCAACTCTAAATAAATATGGTCTGACCTAACATTTTGGAGGCATTGCTGGGAGTGCGTCCTAACACTAATGAAAAGGAATGACACATTCAACTGCCTGAAAGAACCAGCCATTCCAAAACCCAAAAGGAGGTGTGTGAGTCTGCGGCTGAAGAAGGAGTCAGGGTGAGGGTCAGGTTTGGGGACAATCAGATAACCCGAGGGCAGGAAGGAATCATGGAGGGTTTCACACACAGGAAGGCACAGAGTTGGCTATGAGGCCTGGAATGTTAGTGATCAGCCTGAACCCCCTGCCAGGAAGGGCTGAAGGAGACCAGGACGGTGGTCCAACACCCACACACATCAGGGACAAGGCTTAGGCCTCCGCTGGATCCTTTTGCCCTAAACGTAGAAAGCTTTTGATAGAGTCAGATATAAGAGGGACCCCCCAAAAAACAATCACCTTCTGACAGGTGGGCTTCTTGTAGAACAGGCTTCCCCGGCTAGGTAAGTGTTCTAGGAACCCATCGGCATTGGTGTACCAGCTAGTGTTGTTGTGAGAGGCTGCGTTCTGCTTCAGTGAATTTTTTTCTTACAGATTTTTTTTTTTTTTTTTTTTTGAGTCGGAGTCTCTCACTCTGTTGCCCAGGCTGGAGTGCAGGGGCACGCTCACGGCCACTGCAGCCTCAACCTGCTGGGTCCAGGCAATCCTTCCGCCTCAGCCTTCCAAGGAGCTCCTCTCACCTCAACCTCCCAAAGTGCTGGGATTACAGGCGTGAGCCACCACACCTGGCTTTTTTTATAGATTCTTTCAACATGTTTTCTCTTTTCCTGTTGAGTGATTGACAAGTGCACCTGCCCACCCTGCACTGAGCGTTCAGCAGTTTTTGACCAAAAATGGCAAGACCCCCGTGTCCCACCCTCCCTCTTCACCTGATCTTGCCACGAGTTATTTTTTTGTTGTTGTTTCCCCAATGGGAAAAGTCCTAAAAGGGAAACCTGTTTTGCCAGTGTGGAAGAGGTGAAACCAAAAATGACAGAAGTCCTAAAAGGCATCAAAATTAACAAGCTCTGGTGGCTTACATCTGCAATCCCAGCACTTTGGAAGACAGAGAGTATTGCCTGAGCTTAGGAGTTCGAGACCAACCTGAGCAACATGGTGAAACATCCTCTCTACAGTAAATTTAAAAATTAGCCGGGTGTGGTGGCATGTGCTTGTAGTTTCAGCTACCTGGAAGGCTGAGACGGAAGGATCACCTAAGCCCAACAGGTTGAGGCTGCGGTGGCCATGAGGGTGCCCCTGCACTCCAGTCTGGGTGACAGAGTGAGACTTCAACTCAAAAAACAAAATTGACAAGCTCAAAACTGTTTTGCATAGTAGAAAAAGTGTCAGATTGGTGTATTGCATCAAACGAAGAGTCCTTGGAAGGCAACTGAAGCTTAACATGGAAGAATAAATATACAATTTTTTATAAATAAATTCCATGTTTTGGGGGTCCCCACTCTGAGACCCCCACCTCAACAATTTGATCCGGCACCCAGACGAGGCCCATGGCCTCCTTCCCACAGCCTCTGTCTCTACCCTGGTGGTCGCCACAAGCATGCCTTGCGTTCCCGCTCCCAGGATCTGATTCTTGGAGACCATCCCTGGGTGCTAGTGGCTGCAGCCATCTGGTTGACCTCCGTCCTGCCCCGTGTGTGGCCTCCGGGCCTGTGGGAGCGGGGGCAGTGGCCGGTGCACAGCCCTGACCCTGCATGTCAGGGGTCTCTTCCTACTGTGCCAATCCTCAGCCAGAAGTCCTGCTAGAAGTACCAGGATCACGGCGCCAAGGCCCATCCGGACCAGATTGCCTTCGATGTAGCGCTGATGGGCAGGGCCTGGGGGGAGAAAGGTGAGGGTAGTTGGCAACGTTGCATCCTGGGTCCTTGTTGCTACTCCCTAATCAGAGACCCCATATCCCTGCCTGCCCGACCAAGAGTCAGAGCTGGCTGACCATTTTCTTCCTTTTTTTTTTTTTTTTTTGAGTTGGAGTCTCACTCTTGCCCAGGCTGGAGGGCAGTGGCATGCTCATGACCACTGCAGCCTCGACCTGCTGGGCTCAGGCGATCCTTCCACCTCAGCCTCCCAAGTAGCTGGAACCGCAGGCGTGTGCCATCATGCCCAGCTAATTTTTTGATTTATTGTAGAGACAAGGTCTTGCCATGTTGCTCAGGCTGGTCTCGAACTCCTGAGCTCAAGCAATCCTCTTACCTCAGCCTCCCAAAGTGCTGGGATGACAGGCTTGAGTCACTGCACACAGCCTTATATACATATATATATATATTTTTTTTTTTTTTTTCCTTGAGCTGGAGTCTCACTCTGTCACCCAGGCTGGAATGCAGTGGCACGCTCATGGCCACTGCAGCCTTGACCTGCTGGGCTCAGGTGATCCTCCCACCTCAGCCTTCCAAGTAGCTGGGACTACAGGCACATGCCACCACACACGTGTTGGGAGCCGGCCACGGAGGCCCACTGAGCGTTAGGGATCAGGGAGGGCCGTGGACCTCGAGACCGCTAGGACGTGTTCGAGAGCCGTAGACCCCATTTTCCTCACCCTTTTGCCATGCAGCACAAGAACAACCTAAAGGAACTCTGCTGGCCTAAGCTGAAGACTCTGTGACTGTGACAGGCATAGCTGACTCTAGAAACCCATTGTTCCTGTTTCCCATAAACTGCGGTTTCGGCCTAGGTATTAGATATAATTCAAATTCAGGTCACATTTGGGAGCCTTTTATACGGTACAAGCTTCTTTATAAGATTTAAAAGAATATTTATAGAATTAGTATATACTTAGGGAGAGCTGTTTGCAGCTTTTCAATGGTGAAGATGATTTTCGAGAGTGGCCCAGCACAGAGTTTGGGCTGGGCCACATTCCTGAGAGCCCAGCATGTACTTTGGACTGGGCTGCATTCTTTTGGGCCGGCTTTAGCTACAGTTAGTGTAAGGTCTCTTTTCTACCTATTATAGAAATTGAATTTATTTTATTCATAGAAGGTATTGTAGAATAGGTCATGCTACGAATCATGTTAGTTCATACATAATCAATCATAATATTTTTAGGTTTTATAAGAATATAGTTAACTTTAAGAATTTTCATCGTCTCCACTTTCTACTATCGAAGTTTTTG